TAAAAAAAAAAAAAAAAAAAAAAAAAAAACAACCCCCCCCCCCCAAAAAAAAAAAAAAAACACAGTTATGTATACAAGATGTAAATAGATATCCAGCTTATGTGTGGAACTAACATTTCCAGGGCAACTTGGCTATGTTGAGGAAGAGAAGTATCAAAAATGGCTCCCTACGGGTACATAATGAAAAAAAAAAAAAGAGTCTACGTGCATTAGAGACTCTACAGTGCTTTTTTTTTTTTTTTAAGAATTATTTTATTTAACTTTATTCATTTATTTACTTATTTTCAATTTGGTCAGAAGGGAACAGAGTGAGAAAGAGAGAAAGTGAGAAAGCAAGCTGCCATGTCCGGGACTCGAATTGTGGTCGTTCATGTGGGAGTCCAGCGCCCTTAACCACCACACCACCTGCCGGCCCCTACAGTTTTGCCATTATGTAGATAGATGCAACAAGCCAGTGGGACCCCTTCCCATGTGCTATTGTGAGCCACTGGCACCACCAGGCCGGTAAGACTCTGGGATAGCTAAACTATGTTCTTAGGAACAACAAACCCCCAACTCCAGAGCACCCTGAAAACAGGGGCATCCCGGGAGTCTGCAGCCTTTCCCATGCCCACCACTCTCCAGAGTCAGGCCAGTCTCTTCCCAAGCCCTCATCTGTCCGTATGCCTTTCCTTGGCCTGTCATGGTCTCCCAGCTCTTTTAAGAAGCTGCCAGCTCACCCAAGCACTGCATGAGAGAACCCAGAAGGTCTAGTCCAGACTGTGACCAGCCCTCGTGGACAAGTCCCTACTCTTACACCAGCCTCCAGAACAGTGCCTTGAACCTACAGCTGATCCAGACTTGTCGGCTAAGTGTGGAATGCTTCCCTCCTCACCTTATCTCCAACCCCCCAGAGAGTCTGGCAGCTGTGGCACCTCCAGACTTCCCCTCTCTCCCTGCCCTGAGTGTTTCCCCTCTCACATCCTTAGGACAGAATCTGGACTCTGCCCTTGCCTTGCATCATTATCATTGGCTTGAGTGATCTTAAAAGGGAGGTGGTTTCCTGCCATATCCCTGCCTAAAACCCACCTCATTTTACCTAGACTAGTGCAAACGCCTCACGTCAGGCCTGCTTGCTGGTTCTGAAGTCAGGTTCTTTCCCGTTTCATGGCCTTTATCCAAACCACTGCCTCTGCCTAAAATGTTTCTCCTCTGCCCCTGCTGATGTCTGTCCACACCTCAGTAATGTTTTTCTAACCACCCCCAGCCATCCCTTATTCCCTACCATCCTGCTTCCTTTACAGCACATGGTTGTCACATGGTGTCATGGTTTATTTGCCGAATGTTGTCTTTCTTCCCACGCAACTGGAAACTTCCTGACAGCAGGGACCGGGTCCATCTTGCCCTAACCAAGTGTCCACATAGCAGGCCTTCAGTACTTATTTGTGGAGGGAGTAAATGTAAGCCTGAGCAAATACTGTGATGAAAGAAGGGTCAAGCTGGCATGAACACAAGGGAACTTCAAAACGTTTATGAAAAATAGAAGTCAAGTATGAGTTTATTTTGGTGCAAAAAATGATTTTTTTAGAATTATTTTATTTAACTTTATTTTTTTAAATTTTAATTTGACTAGACAGGGATGAGAGAGAGAGAGAGAAAGCAAGCCACCAGGTCTGGGACTCGAACCATGGTTGACCATGTGGGAATTCCAGAGCCCTTAACCACTACACCACTTGCCAGCTCCCCCCAAATTTTGAAACCTGTGCATAGTTTTTTTTTTTTTTAAGTAAATAAGTAATTATTTAATTTTATACATTTTTACTATTACTTTTAAAATTTTCTATTGGTTTTATGTGCTCGAGAGACAGTGAGAGAAATAGAAAGTGAGAAAGCAAACTGCCAGGTCCAGGATTTGAACTGCAGTCAACCATATGGGAGTCCAAGTCCCTCAACCAGCATGCCACCTGCTAGCCCTGTTCTGTTTTTCTTTTTTAATACGTATTTTCTATGAACTTACTGAAAAGACTCCCGTCATTTACACATAAAGGTTTATGGGTAATACAAGGTTTTAACTGAGAAACCATTAACAGAATAAGTTGTGCTTTTAAGTCTTTTTTTTTTGAGAGGTTTTCGCTATAGGGCGCGTGTGCTCGCCAGACAGACAGAGAGAGACATAGAGACAGAAAGCGAGAAATCACCCCCCAGGGGGGATGGTCATGCCGCAGTCCCTTCTCCTCCATTCTCCTCTCGGGATCTTGGGCACACACACACACGTGCCCGGCGTGAGTTTTAAGCCACCGGGTCTGGGACGCGAACTGCTATCGATTACGTGGGAGTCCAGCGACATAGCCATTATGCTAACTGCTGGTTCCCTTAAGTCTTAAGGATATATGAGAAGAGATTTGTATCTGGATCACATTTGGACATCTACTATGTAATCTATGACCAAGAGATTACTTAGAGAGGATTCAGTGTTAATAAAGTCAAAGAGCTTCTGTTTATGAGCCAGTAAATGAGTGCTGAGAGGTCCTGGTCAGGGTGAAATGCAATCAGAGGAATTTCAATGGCTTGGAATGAAACCTCACTGCACCAGGAGCCTAAGTTTAGGTCCAGTTTAATCGTTCACATATGGCATGCCTTTAAGCAAGCCCCTTCACCTTTCTGGGTCTCAGTTTTTCCCAATGATAAGAGGTTGAACTCCGTATCACTTATAAAGTCCGTTCTAGCTTGAATGTGCTCTGAGTGAATCATTCACAATGTCTAAGACGCATTTAAAACTTCCTGGACACATCGGATGTTTCCTGAATCCTTTTCTTGGTTGTTGTTTTATTTTTTTTCCATGATAACGTGTGTGTACTCTAGAACCAGAGAGAGAGAGAGAACTGATAGGGTCTCAACACGCCATGATCCCCTAACCCAGGCTTCTAGCTCCTCAGGATCTTGGGCATGCCCTCACACCCAGCATATTTTTAAACTAAACCAGGATCTGAACCCATAATCAGCCATGTGGTTTCCAGCACTACAGTTCACTTTGTTATTGACTGGACCATCAGACTGGACCGTGAATCTTTTCTGACTGGCATTACCATATTTCCTGGCTCTAAGTCACAAAAACTCAAGGCCCCCATTGCCCTCTCTATCACACAGAGCTGTATCTTTCTTTCATGGTATTTTTAAAAAGAATTATTTTATTTAAATTTATTTATTTTTAATTTGATCAGAGAAGGACGGTGAGACAGAGGGAGAAGGAAAGTGAGAAAGCAAACTGCCAGGTCCAGGACTCAAACCACAGTTGGCCATGTGGGAGTCCAGCATCCTTAACCATCACATCTCCCGCCAGCCCCTCATGGTATTTATATTTCATTGCCTCCCATCCCCCTCTGCCTCCCCTTCCTGCTGCCACCACCCTGGTTCAGTTGCAGTCATTTGCCACCTGGACTCGCAGTCTCATTCCAGTCTAGTTACCAGACTGATCTTTTTTTAAAATTATTTAATTTTATTCATTGTCATTATTTATTTATTTCATTTTATTGAAGTTGACCGGAGAGAGACAGAGAGAGAGAAGGAAAGTGAGAAAGCAAGTTGCCAGGTTCAGAACGCAAACCATGGCCAGCCATGTGGAAATCCAGCTGCCTTAACCACCACGCCACTTGCCAGCCCTGAGACTGATCTTATTAAGAGTCCACAAAATTGTTCTTTCTGTCCTAAACCCTCAGTGCCCTCCTAAGCCATGGCCCTGCCCTTTGAGTTCTCCAACTTGTGGAGGAGTCATTAATGTATGTGCATAGGCACATGTCTGGTGTGTTTCTTAAGCCACCAGGTCGGGACTCAAATGACACAGTCGGCCATGTAGGATCAGCTGCCTTAACCACCATGCCATGTGCTGTCCCAGCTCTTTGTCTCTTAACTAAGTCCTTGGACACATGACTTCTTATAGCCTCTTTCCTCCTCTCTAGAAAAAGGAGAGTGGGTAAGGTCCTGCTTAAAGTCCCTTTCAATGGAAAGGGAATGATCCTGCTCCCCATTTGTAACTTTCTGAGCCTGTTTCTGCAGAAAACAGACAATAATCCCTCTGCCTCTCTTGCAGATTTGTTAAGAAAATCAAGAGAAGGAGTCACTGTGGCTTATAGACCAGAAGCAGGGAGCTTAGTGCTCTTTCCCAGTATACAAGATGGCAGGGGGAAAAGCTGCGAAGCAGGATACTAAGGAGAAGAAGCCTGAAGCCAAGAAGGCTGATCCAATGGCAAGGTTAAAAAGGGTGACCCCAAGGCTAAAAAGCCCAAGAAGGGGAAGCCCCATTGCAGCCGAAGCCCCGTCCTAGTCCGGGGCATCGGCAGATACTTCCGGTCTGCCGTGTACTCCAGGAAGGCCATGTACGAGAGGAAATACTCGGCCACTAAATCCAGGATCGGAAAGAAAAAGGAGAAGGTTCTTGCGACTGTCATAAAAACAGTTGGTGGAGACAAGAATGGTGGTACCCGGGTGGTTAAACTGCGCAAAATGCCTAGGTGTTATCCTCCTGAAGATGTGCCTCGAAAGCTGTTGAGCCATGGCAAAAAACCCTTCAGTCAGCATGTGAGAAAGCTGCGAGCTAGCATCACTCCTGGGACCATTCTGATCATCCTCACTGGACGCCACAGAGGCAAGAGGGTGGTTTTCCTGAAGCAGCTGAGCAGTGGCTTGCTCCTTACAACTGGACCGCTGGTTCTCAATCGAGTTCCACTGCGTAGAACACACCAGAAATCTGTCATTGCCACCTCCACGAAAATGGATATTAGCAAAGTAAAAATCCCAAAGCACCTCACTGATGCTTACTTCGAGAAAAAGAAACTGCGGAAGCCCAGACACCAGGAAGGTGAGATCTTTGACACAGTGAAGGAGAAATACGAAATTTCAGAGCAGCACAAGATTGATCAGAAAGCTGTGGATTTGCACATTTTACCAAAAATCGAAGCTCCAGGGCTACCTGCGATCCGTGTTTGCCCTTACAAATGGAGTTTATCCTCACAAATTGGTGTTCTAAATTTATTGCCATGAACCTAATTAAATAACTGATCATATATTTAAAGAGAGAGAGAGAGAGAGAGAGAGAGAGAGAGAGGTCACTGAGAAAGCATTTCTTCCTTCCCCAAATGCTAATCCTATGCACCAAGCACTTTGCTAGGCGCTGGATGTAGGCTTGGTCGTCTCCGCCCTGGGGAGGAGTTTACAGTGTAGACTAGCACTGTCTGCTAGCACATTCTGCAAGACGGAAATATGGTACCCATTAGTCACACATGGTTCCTGAGCACCTGAAACATGGTTACTGTGACTGAGGCTCTGGATCTTTAATTTTATTTAATGTCAATTAATTTATTTTTTTAAGAATTATTTTTATTTAACTTTATTTCTTCTTATTATTATTGCTATTATTTTCCAGTTTGATCAGAGAGAGACAGAGAAAGAGACAGAGGGACAATGAGAAAGCAAGCCACCAGGTCCAGGACTCCAATTGTGGTCACCCATGTAGGAGTCTAGTACCTTTAACCACCAGGCCTCCTGCCAGCTCCAATATCAATTAATTTAAGTTTAAGCCACAGGGTGCTGGTGGCTACTGTATTGGCCCATGCTGGTATACAGATCTAGTGAGTAGAGGAGGTCTATACAAATACATTAATGACTCCTCCACAAGTTAAACAGAGAGTACCATATTTAATGGAAGTTATGTGGGGACCGGCTCCATGGCGTAGAAGTAATGTGCTGCTCAAGAGGACAGACATGGCCACTGTGGATCCCACACGGTAACCACAGTTCGAAACCCCACCGTGGCTTGAAACATTCAGTGCAGACACACAAGTGCCTAAGATCTGACAAGAGAGAGAGCTGGAGGAAGGGGATCGCAGCGCAGCCAGACCCTGTGGAGGGAGCTCATCTCTCACACGTGCACATACATACCCTTCACAAATAAAGAAGCAGCATTATTTTAAGTTAAGTGAATGTGGTTTCTCTCTTTCTGTCTCTCAAAATACCTTGTACTGTATTCACCTATTTTTGGACCATGTTTAACCACGAGTAACTGAAACCACAGAAAGTAAGACTAAAGATAAAGGGGGTGCTTACTGTACCTCGGGGTGCATAGTTCATTCCTCTATCAATTCCAAATATTGGCCCACTCACCTCCTCAAACAAACACTGCAGGCTGAAGCAGTTCTGTGTTCAGGGTTCAGGTCACTGCTCCTGAGTGGATGCGGTGAGGGCTGTACCTCCATCTGCTCTCTGGGTTCTCTTTACCCCTTCCTGCCTAGACCTCAGAGCGTGGTCTCACCTGCACATGCTTCCTCTTCTCGCGTCCCCTGAGACTCTCCGCTTTGGCTGGCCTGTCCCCTTCCTCTCTAAGCACCAGAGCAATGACGTCCCAGTTGCTCGGTTCCTCCTGCTGTAGCCTTGGCAGGGGGAATCCTCCAAAGATCAGTGACTCTGCTCAGCTCATTTCCTGCAGGCTCTGCCAATGGAAAAGGAAGCCCTGGCATCCGAATCTGCTAGACTGGATGTCTAGCACAGATTTAGTGTCAATGTATTAAGTCCGAGAGTCCTGTGCGCTGGTCATCGGGAGTCCCATCTGCCTTCCTAGTGGTTTCACGGTTTTGCTGGTGCTCTGTGCTGAGGGTCAGCAGGAGCTAAGACCCCAGGAGAGCTGGCCAAAGTGCCAGGGCAGGGCTGGGTGGAATGTGACTGGCTACGAGCTGGAGAGAATGATATATCATTCTTTGCCATTTGGATGGTGCTTTATACTGGGTCGTCGGGAAAGTCATGACGCATTTTTGCATAGAACAATATTGCTCGGTTCCTCCTGCTGTAGCCTTGGCAGGGGGAATCCTCCAAAGATCAGTGACTCTGCTCAGCTCATTTCCTGCAGGCTCTGCCAATGGAAAAGGAAGCCCTGGCATCCGAATCTGCTAGACTGGATGTCTAGCACAGATTTAGTGTCAATGTATTAAGTCCGAGAGTCCTGTGCGCTGGTCATCGGGAGTCCCATCTGCCTTCCTAGTGGTTTCACGGTTTTGCTGGTGCTCTGTGCTGAGGGTCAGCAGGAGCTAAGACCCCAGGAGAGCTGGCCAAAGTGCCAGGGCAGGGCTGGGTGGAATGTGACTGGCTACGAGCTGGAGAGAATGATATATCATTCTTTGCCATTTGGATGGTGCTTTATACTGGGTCGTCGGGAAAGTCATGACGCATTTTTGCATAGAACAATACGTCATGACTTTCCCAATGACCTAATACTTTGTTAAACACTTCCACTAACTTCTCCTTTGACTTCCACAATCACCTGTGGGTCAGCCAGGCCAGCTAACCTCCCCTTCATTTTCTAAGGTAAGTCCCTGAGACTGACTTGCTTCATGGTCATTTAGCAAGTTAGCACCCAGGTCCCCAACTCCCAGGCTCAGACGTCTTTCCCCTGTTGTCTGTTCTCAGAGGCCTCTTGATGATAGCCCCCTCACTCACCCCCACTGAGGGAAACACGCTTGCTCTCAAAGAGAAGTTTAGACTAATGTTAGAGTGGGGCTGGATGGGCAGAAGGAATGATGATCCTTGGCTCTGGGGGTTTCATACCTGTATAAGGCTGACCTTGGCCTTGGAAAAGCCTCTGGGCACTGATGCTTCCCGACAAGCTCTTCCAAGCCAGCAACCAGTGTTTGGGCAGGGTGGCTGGCCTGCCTCTGGCCCCTAGCTGACGTGTTCCTCTATAATGTGTCCACCAAGGATCTCGACAAGGCCAGCAGTACCTGATTCTGGGGAGTGTGTCCAGGGGTGTTACAGAGCCCCAGATCACTTCCTGCAGCTCCTGCTGCCAAGCTGCAGATGGAGCAAGCAAATGGGTTCTTCCAAGGTCACTGGGGGGCCAAGATGACAACATCGAGGACAGCAAAGTGACGCCAATGACACACACAACCCCTGACCTGAGATATCCAGGGTTTATCTTCGATACCCTGGAGTGGACCCAACAAGCGAGCCTTTGTCCCTGGCCCTCACTTGGCACTGAAAGTGCCAACCTGGAAGAAGCAACAGCCACCCCCACTGTTTGCCTGTCTTACTGTTCCCTGAATGTCCCTCCTGCCACTAAACAGGTAAGCGATCGAAGGACATGGGTTCACTCGGTGAGAAGCTGACCTCCCAGCAGCAGGGCCAGTCTCTACTGTGGTGCACATAGCCTCCAGGAGAGCAGGTCCGCCCTCTCCCCAACCCTAGCTTCTGTCCTGCCCCCAGCTAGACTTAAATTCAATGAGAAGGTTTCTGGCAAATGCAGGTTCTGACATCAATTTGTCCTGTGAACCTAAGAGAAGCCCCTTCCCTCTGTGGACCTCCAGGTCTGAGCAATGACGTTCCTATAGCCCCCCCTGCCTCTGGATATTCGGTGGCCCAGCATTCAGTGCAGTCAGCACCGGTCCTGTGTGCAAGGCTGGGAGGCCTGGTGAACACGTAGACATCCCACACCGGCAGGCAAGCTGTGCTCACAGTCCACGCATTCATTCACGTCCTCACCTTTCTTCTGCACAGGACTGCCACGGAAGAGCATCACACATGCTACTGGTGGTCTGGGGGCGGGGGGCAAGTCAGGTGGACTTTGCCCATGTCATCCGAGAGGGTACGAGTGTCCGAGCTCAGGCCACCACTCCAGCCCCACCCCTCTGGCCTCTCCATGAATCACAAACATACACATATCTCTTCCTGAGGCTTAATGATTAGCACAGGCTGAGGGGTCAACAGCCCCTAGGCCCCCAGGCCAGAGAAACAGGCCAGGCGTCTGGTTAAAAGCACCACCCCCCCACCTCACCCCTACACCCAAGCTTTACGGGAGGTGCTGTTTCTGTTTTGATCGGATGAAGAGAAGTATGAGATGAGCACCACAAGATCACACAGTTAACACATGAACCTGCAAAAGGTTCATGGAAAACACATACTAAGACAAAATGATGCATGGATTTCCATTTTCTTTGACCAAAATAAACGTGTACTTTAATTCCATCGGATTGATAAACCTGCTTATTCCCTAACGATCAGGGTTTTTTTGGTTTTGTTTTTTTAAGCTATGACTATCCATCTGTATTTATTTATATAGTTCTACAGAAAGGGCAACTTGAACAATTGCAAATAAGAAGACCTACTCTTTTATCAAACAAGCCAAACCGGGGGACCCACTGCCCAGGTGGTTTTGGGAACCACTGCAGTCTGCCATACTCCCTGGCTCCCTCCCACAGCCCTGCTACAGTTTCCATTCACCTGCTGCCTCCAGAGCAGGGCTCGCTGCCTCAGCCCTCAGACGCCTCCTTTTCCAAAGCCTGGAGCTCCTCTTGGACAAAAGGATCATTCTGTCTGTTCTTTGACATGTCTGGTTCTGGCCATTCAGATGTCCTGGCCTCACATGTCTGGCTGTGGCCATTCAGACGTCCTGGCCTCTGAGCCCAGGGGGAGGAAAGAAGTGTGCTAGGTCATTAAGGCTCGTGGGTGCAAAAATCAACGTGTGCGTTAGCTCAGGCTTACTCCTCAGAGCTCCCACAGCAAGCCAGTTTCCCTCACTTCCTAGCCCTGGTCAGCTGTCCCCACCAACGGCCAAGGGCCAGCAGGAACAGCCAGATGCAGCTACTTCATCCCGGGAACCCCTGGGTTGGCTGAGAAGGGGGTCCTGGGGACAGTGATCTTAGCTAGGAGAACGAGGTGCCATCTCTCAGTTGCAGCCAGGACAAAGAAAGAGGAAATGGGATTAATGTCACCTCACTGCTAAGGACACTAGGCCTGAGCTCTGCCCAAGCAGCCACTGGGAAACAAAGTATTAGCAATATCCTGCATACACAATGCTCCCCTAGGCTCAGTGCCCCCAACTCCTCCTCTCCTCCTGTCTGCTGACAGCTGGCGAGCACACTGGAACGTCAGTGACAAGCAAGAAATGGCCAAGCTCCTCAGAGGTCACAGGAGATGCCGTTTGATCCTGACAAGTGCCATTGTCCTGCAGGAGCTCGGGGTGGGCACACCGTCACGAGAGACACTTCGAAGATGAAAAGAAGTTTGTCTGCTACAAAAGTGGGGATGAGAGGGGTGTTCTAGACAGAGGGCATGTCATGACTAAGGCACAGATAATGTCACAGAGCCCCAAAGTTCCCCAAAGTCTGAAGGAGGGCAAACACTTGGAATGACTGCACTCATCCGAGAATCGTAGCTTGAGCACCCACGGAATGAAAGCTCTGTGCAGTGCTACTTTGGGTGGTGGCAAGAAGGGATCAGAGAATCAATCAATCTCTACCCCAAAGGGCACACAGTCTGGTAGGAAAAATAAGGGGGAAACAAACAGCTGGGATTATGGAATTGTATCTATGAATAGAAGTTTCCAGACAACCTGGCCCAATTTCCTTTTTCTAAACATGGAGGAACAAGCGGCGGAGTGATTTGCCCAAAACCAAATGCCAGCTGGTACGAGAACCTGGATCAGGCTTGGATCTTTGCTTTCCACTCTGTGCTCCTTCCCCTCCAGCAGGTGTGGCACACACCACAGTGGAAAACTTGAACTAGTCATGGGCACTGGGAGGAGAGCGCGAAGACACCTGCCTGGGGTGTGTGCTGGTGAGTGACCCCAGAGCAGGGCTCAAACAGGAAGGACACAGTGTGTGCATGCTCAGGAAATGAGGGTATCCAGTGGCCCTGAGGTACAGAGGGCAGAGGAGGCCCACTGGGGCCATAGCAGGGACTATAGGGTAGGCCAGTTCTGGTAGTGACCTTTGAAGTTGATCCTTTATTTCTGAGCAATGAGGAAATGAAGAGGCACTGAAGAGCAAGGTCAGAGCCATATCTTCATGACGACTTTGGGGCATACAGTATGCAGGACAATGGAGAGGACAGGCACTAGGGGAGGGAGCCTCCTGCAACTGCAAGGTTCAGATAGGAGCTGAGGAGCATGAGGATGCTAGGCTTTGAGGTGGGAGGAAACAATGAGACTGAACGACTAGGGGGAGAGGGGACTGTCTAGAACCAGCTAATCATTGTCCAAGAAAGACAAACAGATCTAGCAAAGGACTCCAACTGTCCTTCCGAGCTCCACCCCCAGTCAGGCTTCAGGCCATTCTTCTGGGCTTATGCCCCAGTACTCCTACATGCAAATAACTGCACCACTCAGACTTGATTCTCATCCTTAGAGTCACCAGTGCAGGAAAGCCTTGCTCAAGCCTTTCTACCCCTACAGTATCATCTATTCACTTCCTCCTACTTTTCAAGATTCAGGTCCAAATCTACCAGCCGGAAGAATATCCAACCACTCCCAGCTCGAAGTCACCACATCATCCCCTGCAGCTTGATGCTTCCTCTTTTGGCATATGTTGACTTTTTTTTTTTTTTTTTTTTTTTTTTGCTAGAGTACACGTGCTCACCAGAGAAAGAAACTGAGAAAGTGAGAAATCACCCTCCATGGGGGATAGCCACATGGCAATCCCTTCTCCTCCATTCTTCCCTCGGGATTTTGGGTACACATGCACATGCTCCTGGTGTGATTTTCAAGCCACTGGATCCAGGACTTGAACTGCATGATCAGCCATGTGGGTCCCGGTGCTTTAATCTCCACAAAGCCTGCTGGCCCAGGATATGTCAATGTGTAACTCCCTCCCTATAAAGTGTACGCTCCAGGAATCAGGGGCAATTCAAGATGACAAGTATGCTGATCACTGAAGGGATGTAGAGGGACGATTGTCCATGCCTGC